TCATGAGTTCAAGCGCCCTACGAGGCTCGCATCCCGCTCTCACCCCTTCACTGTCGAAACTCATAAATGTAGCCGTCTCTTCTACTCTAATAGCTTCATGTCTCGCACCTCTCGCCTGTGGAACTCTCTTCCCTTCTCCTGTTTCCCTGAGAGTTATAATCTCCAGCTATTCAAGTGTAATGTCAATCGACATCTCCAGTTGCCTTAATCTATCTACTACCCTCATCCTTTCTTCTATCACTCCTATCTGATCTTCCTATTTTCTGTAACCCCTTGCGTCCTAGTGGCTCCCCGCCTTGCTCGGGGTGAAATGCTTAAAAAAAAAAAAAAAAAAAAAAAATGTCCCTCTTCAAGAAAACATATCGAATTAATCTAGCGATCAGCCAGTGCCACTATCGGTTGAAGTTCTAGTTGTGAAGTTTAGAACTGGCGGAACCAAGGAATGTGGTTTGCTCGAGCACTTTCCATGATGGCAGCGATAGGGCTGTGAGAGACACACCAAATCCCGTCCGTGAGAGAGAGGCTGGAGGGTGGGAAATAATTCTTCTCCAACAAGGATTCGGAGATGCTTTGAATTCTATCAAGGCTTGAAAGCGAGGGCCGCGCAGCCCCAGCTCCAGCCCAAATATGTCAACAGTACTCCATTTTAGGCCTGATCTGACTCTTCTAAATTTAGCGGATAGCATAAGTCAGTACTTACTATAGCGGTACAGGGAGCTGTTCATTTTACCCGCATCTTTAGTGATGGACCATACATAAGAGTTCCACTTGAGGTCGGGTGTGAGGTTGAGACTCAATATCCTCTCAAGGCCCGAAGGGACATACATTCATTGTGGCCGGAGTCAGTTCCTGGTCTGATCGGCGGTGATGGAATGAAACAAGTTTGTTTTTCGAGGCATTGATTGTAACCAGCCAGTTTTTACCTCCACTTGGTAGTTTGTGTTAGATTGGAAGAAAGGTCAACTGCCAAACTCTCCTTGTCAAAAATTTTAGAGATGCCCACCTTGTATCATCGGCGTAGATGTTTACAACTGATCTGAATAGCTTAATATTTATCTGTACACCCAACAATCTAGAGTCCAAAAGATTACGTTTTAACTGATAAACAAGACCTATATTCTTGAAGCAACTAAAAAGAAAACTGGTTTTGGTATTAAATAATCCGACTGGAGTTGATATATCGTAAAATCTATCAACAAAAATTGAATGACAGACTGTAATGGGGAGGAAAGAGGTTGAATTGTTCAAAGCAGAAATTGTCGGAAGTGTCTCTGTGGAGACTGATGGCGCCGTGCGGTTCTCTAGAAATCTTTTAGCGTCAAAAATCAATACCAGTCTGCCGAGGAGATCAGAACTTGAATCAAGAACTGTTTATTAAACGAATGATTTTTTTTTTTTTAAATAAATAAATTACAAAATAACAAGATTATCAACCAAACAAGGTTCAACAGATTTGCTTTGCTCATGGCTGATCAGGTCGCAGTCGACATCTGTTAAGTGTCTGCAAAGCAATAAAGAATAATATGAAGAACCAGGAGTGTGAAGTGCCAGAGAGAGAAAATGCAGAAGGAAAAAGAGAACATCATCAATAATAATAATAATAATAATAATAATAATTTGGCAATGATTTTCTGTTTTGTGTCAATTCCAGTCCCACTGACACAATTAGTAATCATTTCACTATTATTTTATTTCCATGAATGAGTTTGTTTTACTTTATGCGTAAAACTTCCTCTTTAGAGAATATTCTAACGCAGGCTTATCATCTCTCAGTTGTGTCTCTGTCTTTGGGCAGAATTCACTCAGGGTTTTCTCTGTCAAGGGATAAAGAAGCAACTGAGAAAATTATACTGAGAGGTGCCCAGCCCTGGGGAAGAGCTGTCCGAGGCCGCGCTCTCCCATTGCACCAGAGGGAGGGATCGGTGCTCGCACCAAGGACACCGCAACCGACCGTTGCGGAGGCTGTGGGCAATTTTTGTCCTTGTCCCGGGCGTACGCGCTCGGGTGTCCACCTAAAATAGACCTCGTGTCACATCTCGTCCAAGTGGGCGGAAAGAGTTAATACAGCGTTTTCCTTCGACTTTCTATATTTTTCTAACACCATCACTGTATGGGTTGTTAACAGAGGGCCACATGCTCTTATGAAGGGTGACTTATACATTTTCGGATTTCTTCGACTCATCGTGGTTGTTTTGTGCAAGTTTATTATTTTTATTCTTTAACGTATTATTACATAAATTTCTTTATTGCGCTTAACAGTTGCTGTAAGTGTGGCTGTGCGGACAGTGTAATAGATAATGACTGAGAATTTTTAATTGGAGAACAGTGTTTCAACTCCAGTCAAGTTCGTTGACATGGGTCCTTACCTATAACTACAGAATGAACGCTTCCTAACACTATGTATACTACGCCTCTCAAGAGAGAGGGTCGAATCAAGCCGAGCTTCTCGGCTTGACGGTCGAACTCTCTGCCTCAGAGTAGAGAGGAACTCGGACGAGGCTCCGCCGAAGGGCAGAGTCTCGTTCGGGGAGGTTGACCAACCCGATCCCGTTTATACGGATTCTACGGGCATTTTTTTGGCCGAGATTACGGGCTCGGGAAACCCCCATTAAACTCGGCCTTGTGCCACATGCAACCCTCGTGGGGGGCTAGATACCGAATCGAGCCGAGCTTCCCGACTTGACGGTCGAACTCTCTGCCTCTAAGCAGAGAGGAAACCGGACGAGGCTCTGCCGAAGGGCACAGTCTCGTTCGGGGAGGTTGACCAACCCGATCCCGTTTATACGGGTTGTACTGGTATTTTTTGGACGAGCCTACGGGCTCGGGAAACCCACGTTAAACTCGGCCTTGTGCCAAATGCAACTCTCGTAGGGTGGTGGCTAGATACCGAATCGAGTCGAGCCGATAGTAGTTCACTCCAAACCAGACTGACAGTCATACTAACACCTTCCACATTCTTGTATTATTATTTCGTGTAATATACCTTCGTTATTTCTACTTTTGTGTTCGTGTTGTTCTTCCTTGGTCTTAACCTGGACCATAACATTTGTTATGTTCACCTATGCGCAGTACCCTTGAGAAAGTCATGAATCCACCTCTTCTTCTCCCAGTTATGGTTTACTTAGTTAAACTTGTATCACTAAATCATAATTACCTGCCCCCCCCAAAAAAAAAAATTCTTACAATCAAAAAATATTTTCTAGCTTTAAATAACCTGGCTAACTTTCATAAGTTCAGAAAAAGAATCAACATTGATTCCTTAGGGATATGTAAATTATTTTTTTTTCTTCAGACACAAAGTAGACGTTTACTGAGTAACATTGTCTTACTCGATGAGGGTAGGGTAGATATAGGTTGATCCTGGATTTAAAGAGATCAGGATTGTAGTGGTCAGGAAAGTATCCACTCGGGAGTTTAGACCAGTCTAGCGAAGTAGAAACTTGTTCCTTATCAAAAGACATGAATGGGATGGGGATAGTTTGCCACTGTGAACATGACATTACAGATCCTAGCTGTAAAGTTCCCTTTTATGAAATTCCTCACCAGTTCTTAATTACCATCCCCCCACCCCATTAGCTAGATTTATTCGATCTACGGCAGTTCACATCCGTGGAAATTCTCTATTAGCAAAGGTTTTCTAGCAGCTGCCCCAGTTATCATTTATGAAGATCGCAGATTACAAAGAAAATAGCGAATATCACCATTTTCTTTCATTTACGCCATTGCCCCCATTAGCAAAGTTTTATCCGATTGATGCCAATTTCCCTTGATGAAAATTGCCCTTTAGATTTACGATTGTTCCCCTATAGGAAAATTTAATTCTATGACAGGTTTATTTCGATTTGCGCCAGTTTTTTTTTTGGGCGGGGGGTCTGTGTGAACATCCCACGTTAGCATTGACTCACTTTGAGTTACGGAAGTTCATAAAATTCCGACATTACCACAGAAAGTCTTCGTTTTAAAATAATTCCTCTTGATGAACCTCCAACATTAGCTCAAGCATTCTTCGATTTGTGCCAGTCCGCACTGAGGAAATTATGCAACCAGTGCAAATATGAGAATTTCATCAATGCTAAATCCAGTAAATCGAAGAATTCCTGGCTTAATAATGGTGCTGGATAATGGTGAAGTTGTTTTCAAATTAACATTATGCAGACGTATTCGTAAAATATTTTATTTCTATTGCAAGTCATTAATGATAAGTAAAGCGTGTCTATTACTTTTTTTTATCACCATCATTTTTTTTCCCTAGTTTTCTTACATAATATACTTTTTTTGCAGATTTTTAATTTCTTTTCAATTTACACTCTCGTCTCCTGAGACAGAGTTCACCAATATAAGAAAACGTGTTCCCTCCTTTCCTCCAGTGGTGCGCGCCTGCAGCTTTCTCTAAAATCTGTCAAGGTCTCTTTTCTTTTCCTTTTCTTTTAGGAAACTCAAAACCTACCATTTTAGGAATCTCAAAAGATAACCATTTTATAATTGTTAGTTTAAGGCTATTTTCATTTTTTTTTTTTTTGAAGAAAACTCCGTAGATTCTAATGATAAATATTTGTTCACATGGTTGAATCCAAGTGATTTGCAGAGTTCTGTGGATTCCAATGTTCCTATTCTGTCATGCATATTTTTTCAACAGTATCTCGTGGCATGTGGTTTTCTGATCCAATTCTATTGGGTTTAGTTGTGGATTTTACCAGTTTGGGTGCATTTCCTCATTCAGCCTTCAATTTTTTTAAATTATTTATGATGCGTCTTGTATTGCTATGGACTGAGGGACTGGTGATGATGATTTGAATGAGGAAGTTTCCATTTTCACGATCATTTCTCAGGGCTTAGTCTTCCATTAAAAACCGATAGATGGATATTTGTGAGGAAAGGGAGGCTGCGTTATGACAATGAATAGAGGAAATATTCACGACTATAAATAAACGGTATAATGTTTTGCCTTCTGGGTGCTTTTCTGTGTTGTTTTCGCAGTGTGATCAATTAAATTTTCCTACTTGATGGAATTAATGAAACGACATGAGGCATGTGGAGGTAACTGAGAGAAAGAGAGAGGCAAAGATGGCGAAGAAATGTTGTGCTTATATTGTGAGACAGAGATAATATAGAGTGTGAGTGAGGGAGAAAAGGTATTTGCAAAACTTGAGAAATAGTGAAATTATATGAGAGAGAGAGAGAGAGAGAGAGAGAGAGAGAGAGAGAGAGAGAGAAAGAATATTTGAGTGACAACAGGCGCATATAACATGAAGGGGACGTTTACTATGTAAAGAAAATTTCCAACCCACCGACTCAAAGCTTATTAAAACTAGTCTGTTCAATATTGCCGCACTTTTTGATCCCTTCAAGTATTTTTCAAATCCCACTTATAAGAAGAAGAAGAAGAAGGACGAAGGAAAAAAGAAGAAGGACGAAGGAAAAAAGAAGAAGTAGAAGAAAAAGAGAAGAAGTAGAAGAAAAAGAGAAAGATGGGCGAGAAGGAAGAAGGAGGTGAATAAGGAGAAGGAGAATAATAAGAAGGGAGAGCAGAAGAATGAGGAGGAGGAAGTGAAGAAGAAATAGGTGAATAAAGAAGGATGGGTAGAATAAGGATCTGGAGGTGAAGGAGGAGAAGGAGAAGGAAGGAAGGATGAGGAGAATAAGATGAAGGAAGAGAAAAAAAAGAGAAAAAAGAAGAATAAGAAGGAAAATGAGAAGGTGAAGAAGCAGCAGCAGCTGGGTGGTTGAGAAGAAGTGAGAGAAATAGATGAGGAAGGAGGAGCAACAGGAGGAGGAGAAGAAAAAAGATGATGATGATGATGATGATGATGATGAAGGAAGAAGAAGAAGAAGGAGAATAAGGAACGAGGAGAAGAAGAAGAAAAAGGAAAGAGGAGAATCAGAAGAATACGATGATGATGAAGAAAATGAAGAAAAAGAAAAAAGATGGAGGAGGAGAAGAAAAAGCAAAACATGATCAATAATAATAATAATAATAATAATAATAATATTTCTTTTCCTTCAAAGATGCGCAGTGTATCTCCTCAGGGAGACACAATCTGTTTTGCTGTGGCATTTCCTGACAAAAAAAAAATATCTAAATCGAATTTAGTTACATTTCTTTTTTTTATATCTACAGCTAAATTGTTATTCATTTTTCAAATCGATACCAAACGTTGGAATTAAATTTCATTGCGCATCAAGACAAATTCTTCAGTATCAAAATAAAGTTGGAGATTAATAGCGTAAATATGATTTTTTTTACGGAGGTTAGATATGTTTAGTAAAAGGCTACAGTTGCCTTGCATTGCAAAGAAAGTTTGAGGAATATATCAATCGAAAACATTTTGTAAGAAAAATAAAATCATAAACAGAAATAATACTTCAACATTTATTAGTGTGATTTTTGCGATAGGTGGCGTGAGTCAAAGAGATTTCTGTGTGTGTGTAAAGAAATGTATCCAGCCACCAATCCCTGTATTGTTTCTGGGGTCGACGAACGTTGGCACCGATCAAGAAGGATATTCTACAAACCAATCATAATTTAATACGTTATATTTACCCTCCTATATGACAGCGAATGCTGCACAATCTCTGAGCCGAGGTGTTAGTACCTGTTAAGTTCTCAGCTATGGTTGAAAAGTTAACCCCCAAACCGTGGTTAAAACACTATTAAACTGTAAAAATAGGTTTTAATACCAGAAATACTTTGTAAAAAATTACCAGCAATAAATTTTTGAAGAAAAATTATTACCAGCGATACATTTTTGAAAACAAATTACACAACTTTATTAGAAACAAAAGAAAGAGTACTGAACACTTATGTGGTATCTGACCTACACATTACAGCGAATTATGGACAATCTCCTCAAAGATGAGGAAGAGACGTGAAGCAACTGAAATGTGGTTCTACATAAAGATTCTAAGGATACCATAGGCTGGATATGTGAGAAACAACGAGGTTTTGAAGAGAATGGAAACAAGAAGGGAACTCATATTCAAAAGAAGGCTAAGCAGAGTATTAAGTGACAGAAAAACGTCATTAGAAACAAAGAAAAGAGTACTGAAATGTTATGTGATATCGATCATCCTGTATGGCAGCGAATGCTGGACTGGTCTACAGTCGCTCTCTTACAGACGCGACGTCGCCTCTCTCTGTCTTTTTTACAAATACTTTCATGGTAATTGCGCCGAGAAGATGCATTCGATGGTTCCCAGACTTCATGAATTGAAGCGCCCTACGAGGCTGGCATCTCGCTCTCAGCATTTCACTGTCAAAAATATTAAATGTAGCCGTCTCTTTTTCTCCAATAGCTTCATATCTCGCACCCCTCGCCTGTGGAACTCCCTTCCCTATACCATTTTCCCTGAGTACTATAATCTCCAAATATTTAAATGCAATGTCAATCGACATCTCCAGTTGCCTTGATCTATCCACTATCCTTCTCCTCATCCTTTTCTTTATCATTCCTATCTGATCTTGCTCCAAATCTTCTGTAACCCCTTGCGTTCTAGTGGCTTCCCGCCTTGCTTAGGGTGAAACGCTTAAAAAAATAAAAATACATTCTCCTCAAAGATTCTCAAAAAAAATCATTAACAGAAATAATACTTCAACATTTATTAGTGTAATGTTTGCGATAGGTAGCGTGAGTAAATGATCTATTAAGATGAATTCTGTGTGTGTGTAGAGAAATGTATCCAGCCACCAATCCCTGTATTGTTTCTGGGGCTAGACGAACGTTGGCACCGATCAAGAAGGATATTCAACCAACCAATCATAATTTTCTACGTGACATTTACTCGCCTATATGACAGCGAATGCTGCACAATCTCCTCAAAGATAGGAAGTGACTTGAGGCAACAGGAATAGGGTTCTACAGAAAGATGCTGAGGATACCCTAGGACGAATATGTGAGCAACAGAGAGAAATTTGGAGAGAATGGAAACAAAAAGGAAACATATTTAACAGAAAATCCGAGCATAGTATAAAGAGATAAAAAAAAATCATAGAAACAAAGGAAAGAGCACTGAACTCATATGTGATATCTGTTCTACATATGCTCGTCCTGCGTAAAACTATAAATTACAACCGCCTCCGTCCTGGGTAAGACGATAAACTACGTCCAACAGCAAGGCCTCTGATCAGGAGGTTTTGAGAAGCGTGGAATCACCTCTTAATTGCTTGTGTTCCCAGGTCCACCCTGACCCGTGGTGGTAGCACCTGTTAGGGTCCCAGCCATGGTTGAATAGTTAACCCCCAAACTGGGGTCAAAACACTATGAAACTGTAAAAATAGGTTTTAATACCAGAAAAACGTTGTAAAAAATTACCAACAATAATTTTTGAAGAAAAATTATTACCAGCAATACATTTTTGAAAAGAAATTATCAGCTATACATTTTAAAAAAATTACCAGCAATACATTTTTGAGAAAAAAATATTTTCAGCAATAAAAATCTTGTCACCGTTAAATAACCCATTGAGGTTGAAATTACATAAAGTAAGACAAAGGAAACTATACATTTTTGAAAAAAAAATTGCCGGCTAAGCATTTTTCGAAAATATATTAACAGCGATACATTATGAAGAAAATAATATTACCAGAAACAGATTTTTGAAAGAAAAAAATATGACCAGCAATACATTTCTGGGAAAAAAAAATATTACCACTAATAAAAACTGTCGGCGTTAAATAAACCATTGTGTTTGATATACCGTAAAACAAGCCAAAACAAATCACACCATACTTATGTCAAAGAATTCTGGATAATCTCCTCAAAGATTAGGAAGGGACGTGAAGCAACTGAAATGGGGTTCTACATAAAGATTCTAAAGATACCATTGTCCGGATATGTGAGAAACAACAAAAAGGAAACTATTTACATTATTCGGACTATTGTCCTCAACTTTGTCGCCATATTTATTACAATGCTTCGGCCGTTGTACACTCCGTTCTTCTCAAAGACACATGGCACAGAGGATAAAGGCGTTAGTTAGATCCAGTGACAGGACCCAAAGAGTGTGAGTTCAATACCCGGTTACGACAGTGGAGGATTTTGATAGAGGAATTAACACGAGATGACAACTGACAGCCATTAACCATAGCACGTGGAACTAGAACCCCAGTGAGCGAAATAAATGGTTCAGTTCAACATTCCAACCACCTGAAGAAGGCTGGAGCGTACAACGGCCGAAACGTTGTAATAAATACGGCGACAAAGATGAGGACAATAGTCCGAATAATGTAAATAATGTACACAATTCATCATCTCAGAAATATAGACAGATAACAAAAAGAAAAATTATATTTAGCAGAAGGCTAAGCAGAGTATTAAGTGAGAGGAAAGAACTTTGCTAGAATCAAAGAGTACTGAATTGTTATGTGATATTTGTCCTCCTATATGCTAGCAAATTCTGGACACTCTCCTCAAAGGTGAGGAAGAATGTTTGAATCAACAGAAAGATGCTGAGTATACCATGGTCTGAGCATATGAGAAACAACGACTTTTTGGAGAGTATCGGAACAAAAAAGAAACTTATAATTTACAGAAAACTAAGCACGGTATTAAGACAAAGAAAATTATTGTTAGAAACAGAGAATATATTGTCGAACTGTTACCTGATTTCTCGCCTCATGTATGGCAGCGAATGCTCGACACTCTCTTCAAAGATGAAGACGATACTTGAATAATAAAAATATCGTTCTACAAAGTGATGCTGAAGATAACATATGCCGAATATGTTAGCAATAACGAGCTTTTGGAGAGAATGGAAGCAAAAAAAGGAAACATATTTAACAGAAAATCTCAGCACAATATAAGAGAGAGAATAACTTCCTTAGAAAGAAAAGAGTACTGAACACTTATGTGGTCTCTGTCCTACATATTCCCGCGAATTCTGGACAATCTCCTCAAAGATGAGGAAGAGACGTGAAGCAACTGAAATATGGTTCTAAATAAAGATTCTAAGGATACCATAGGCTTGATACGTGAGAAACAACGAGGTTTTGAAGAGAATGGAAACAAGAAGGGAACTCATATTCAAAAGAAGGTTAAGCAGAGTATTAAGTGACAGAAAAACGTCGTTAGAAACAAAGAAAAGAGTACTGAAATGTTATGTGATATCGATCCTCCTGTATGGCAGCGAATGCTGGACTGGTCTACAGTCGCTCTCTCACAGTTGCGCCGTCACATCTCTGTCTTTTGTACAAATACTTTCATGGTAATTGCTCCGAGAAGCTGCATTCGCTGGTTCCCAGACTT